TGTGTTTTCGTCAGTGTGGAGCAACAATCAACTGTTCACACATTTTGATCCAGATTTACCGGTGATTTGTAAAAATGCTGAATTATATAACTTAGACATGTTTTGATCCAATGATCAGAAGAAAGTTATCTTAACTATTTTACCGGAAATAGTACATTCCAATAGTGTGCTATTTTAGTCACAGCTTCCTTCATAATATCAATAATAATAATAAACATAAACCAGCACGTTGGTATATTGACAGATATATTTAGTGTATTGAACAGTTTGATGAGACACCATATGATGATGCTTCTCATTCTGTCCTATCTATTGCAAAAACAGTATGTTGACATATGTATATACACAGTGAACACTTTTTATAACCAGTTGTGTAATAACAAGATTACTTACATACTTACAGTAGACGTGCTGTTTGCCGTCTCACATGCTCACTATATTGTGTTTTTCATTTTGGTAACATATCAAAGCTGTATTTTACGTAAGTGGACGGGACTGAACACTACACAAGATAATGTCATGTTTTCCCTTCAATAGATTAAGCATAATGTTTTCAAAAGTTGGATAATAGTTAATAATCCTGGATTTAGGAGAAATCAGCTGAGAATGTTTCATAAAATCAAGAAATTCAATATGAGATTTGTGTGTACTGGTATTAATTCACTACAGCAGTGCCACTCTGTATACTATTTTCATTTTTACACAAGTTAGTTATCTTTCTGAGGTTTTTGCATACTATGAAACAGTGAATGTTACCATATTGTAATGTAAAGATTACAGCTTGCTCAATGATGGTATACAATCAGTTGTGCAATATGTTTTGTCATAATCCATGTACCAAGCTTTAGATAGTGCCTGATTATATGAAAAAAGTACATGTAGACTGATGCATTAACCCATAGTTATACAGTGCTGAGTGTATATTCCAGTTAACCAGTTTTAGTGTTTAATGTATTTGGATGTTGTGAAGTTTTCTGAGTTGTTTTGGTGGTACAATACGGTATATAAGAACGTGTGCTTTAAGGCAAGTATTTGATGGCTGTATTTGTCAAATTGAATGCCTGCTCCAATAACACCGTCCTACTACTTCATGTGAAAGTACCTCTGCTAAATGAGGAATTAACACAACTATCCATATTGTATTGAGTAAATAACAGATTGTTTTACAGAAAACAACAGCATAGAATTGGCATGTAACTATTATATTTTAAGATGGTTGTTCACTAAAAAGCAAATTTAAGTCCTTTTGTAAGGTTTCAATAAGTGTACCCCTTAGCAAGTTGTTTAATACAGTCAAGTCTCATTAATCCAACATCATCCATTGCACAGCAAATTGTCGGATTACCGAGGATGATTATCGAATTCTGAGTACAGATCAGATGATCAAAACAGGACAATCATGATTACATTAAGTTTGTGTGTGCAATTAGTGTTGGGAATCGACGTCTTAAACCAAACAGGACAGATCACGTTTACAGCTGGTTCACACGTCAAGATATTTTGTGTGTGAAAAATGAGAAAGTGAACTCCTGATCTACATGTCAACTTCGATGCAGAAATCAGAATAATGCCTATAGATGTATAGTATCAATAAATCTATTATTTCCAACCTTAAACAGTGAATTTGATGAGAACTGAGACTTTGGCAAATGTGAAAATGTTTTCTTGAAACAAAGTAGGGAACTCCTGATCTTGTTGTCAGTCTTCGATGCCAATCAAATGCTTGAATAGAATGTGTGCATTTTCTTGAGAAGATTCATTGTTTTCAAAACCAATTCCTATTTTTATTAAACATTTACTAAGCAGTGAATCAGGAGAGGGATAAGTTGGATAACTTGTGCCTAATCCTTTTGTTGAATGAATAAAATATATTTAAAACAAAACAAACAAAAAAAATTAAAAAGCCGATTGTCGGATAAATGGGAGTCGGATTAATGAGACTTGACTGTACATGCATTTACGGTTAGCTGTTTCATTATGTCCACCATATTGCAATACGAACCTTGTGAAGGAACCTGGAAAAGAATAAAGGAACACTTGAACTATCCAGTGTTCCCTCAATCATTTCCATGAGTATATAAAGTGTCTCTGGTGGATGTTTTTACTTTGTAACATTAAATAAGGAGATTAATTTGGACAACTTTAAGTAGATATGCGACCAAGGTTTATAATCATGGTATCCAGGGTTCATAGTATTTAGAGGTAAACTATCTAGTGGTTAGAATTGATTAGAAAGATGATAACTATCACAAACTAGTTTATGATGTCTGAAATTTGTATGTTATGTGAAGTCAATTTGTATTTATTGTTCATTGCCTTACCCACATGTATGCAACAATATGGATGCTTCAAGCAGGAATGTGCTGTACAACTACGCAAGGTTGGATCCATTGTCATGCTACTATCAATATACTTGTAAGGACTTGAGGAAAAGAGGTTTGTGTGGAGGCTTTGTCTGTGTGAAAACTTGTCAAAGGGACATGAATGCCTCTACACACGGGCTGGCTATCAATGGAGATCATAGAGATCCATAATCATTAACTAATTATTGAATATTGATGGATATTGACGAAGTAAGTCAGAAAGAAATCAACATATTTCAAGTCACTGGCAGCCCATGACACATTCATGCATTGATTACAAAAAGAGGCATTCTAAATATAATATTCATAATGTATACAAAATTCTTACCATATGTTGTTATATTCTAAACATAGTTTAGAAGTGGTGAATGAATATTGCCTTTTGTATTGTGTGTGTAAATTCAAACTTGTTTCACCATAATAGTTTTTGTAAAGATCAATGACACAATTTTCATATCAATAATCAATGATAATTTTTACCTGATTTTTTCAAGTTGCAATCTTTTTAACCATCCCTTCTCTACATCACAAAACTATTTGTTGATTTGAAGAAATTTCAAATAAATTAATTAATTAATTAACAGTGTATGGTCTCTTACCAGACTTGGCTCCAACCTTGCAGTGTACATTTTAGTGATTTTACCAGTATATCACTTTGATTTTTTGTTATTATTAACCTCAAGTTAAACTTGAATAAAGGCTTCAAGCTATTGCGTTCTTCATGCCATTTTGACTGTTTTTATTTGACCAAAAGTGTACGATTGATAATCACTTTTCTGTAAACACTCTGAGGGATCCATGCCAAACTCTGGCTAAATAGATGACTGAATACCATAGCCAATATACAGATTGTATAAAAGTCAAATATTCTATATAGTCTGCCAGGATGGGTACCAGTTACCCAGCCAAAGACAGAGATGGAGCTTGAAGTGTATACCAAGGGATATCTTTTCTTAGCTACTGGGATACATCAGCAAGCCATGTTCAAACACTATGGGTCAGTGCTGACGGTCAGCCACTGACCGTCATTATAGGACTGAACCATGGTACACACATATACCTTGTGATCATGTAAGAGAGGCAGACTGAAATAGGATGAGATGAGTACATGTGAATGCAAAACAGTTTATGGCATAACAGGCAGTTGAGGTTGAATGGTATGTCACCAAGCTGAGACTACACACTAATCACGTGACCAGGTACACTGTCTTGACTTTCTGTAATGGAGATAACTGTCATATCTCAAGTATAGTACTGGCACTTGATTGGTTATCTTGCTCATACTCAAGTAACCGGGTAACCAATTCAACCCAAGGCTAGACTTTCCCACTCCAGGCCATATACTTGCCCCAAAAGCTGAGTAGGGGGTGTGCTGCTGTCAAACTGAAGATCATTGTGGAGGATATTCTTCAAACTATTACATCAAAACATAAAGTTAGGAAGAAATGTCCTGGTTGCAATCTTCACCCCCATCTGCAGCAGAAACTTTAACTGCATTATACTGTTTGCTACCATCATGATTAACATATTTCATGACACAAGTTAAGTGAAAGAGTTGTGTACTGAATTCATTTTGAACATATGAATTCACAATGTGATTAATGGATGGGTCACATATTGGACGTCTGTATGGCCATTGTGGCAAGAAAGTACAGATGTTGATATGTGTAATGCTTACCCACTGTATTATGCTGCAAGTTCTGTTGATCATCTTCAAATATGCCGATCAGTAAACAAAATATATAAACAACCAAGACACTACAGAATATTTGTACTTGATGATCCAAGCGCGCGCTGCTGTCATGAAAAGCTCTTCTGAGTCATAGTTGATGATTGCTATAATGAAGTTATATGAGTATCTAAGAAGACTCTGTACTTACACCAATGTGTGGAGCAAAATATCTATTGTCAAAAGTTGATACATGGTAAGTAATATGACATTCTAACATTTGTATTGCTGAAACTAACAACCACAGTTTTACATTCAATGCATTATGAATTAAAATTGAAAAATTCACATGATCTGACAAGATGTTGGCTGTTTCAAGTGAGTTACGATTTACATACGCATTAGATATATTTTAGCTGTTTCAAACTAATGGCTAAACACATGATATTAGTGAACGTAATGGTTCACAGTTGTTAAGCTGTGTTATCTTTTCCCTCTTCTTTGTTTCTGTACTCAGTTGATTGTTTTTGATTTCACTGTATTTTAGTACCAGGATTTGTTTTCTCGAAAGAAAATTAAGTTTTTACTCAAATTTCAAACTGAGTTTGACAAGTTGAAACAGCTGAGTTCCTAACTCAATTGCATTTCTAAGCCCAAATAGCCAAAACAACTCAAGTAACCTATCTACCAAACTCAGTTTGTCTACTAAGTTTAAGTCCAATATTAATTTCCGTTTATTCTGGAAAATGCATTTTCCTGTGTTTTCTCAAATTTGAGTAAAAACTCTAACTTAAGTGAGATCTCAGACTGAAGTTTGTTTCGAGATATCGGGAGCAGGTTACTCTTGCAGCCACACACTTTTTAGTCAAGCTCAAATTGCTTTTGGCATGTTACTTCACAGAACCCAAACATTGCAAGCTGCATGTATGTTGATAATCCTTCTTCTAACCCAGTATCTTTTTCTTCAGCTCCAGAACCTGATGAGGGTGGTTTTCCACTCATTGCAGTAATTATTTTGGCTATTTTACTGGTTGGGATAATAGTCACAGATGTCCTATTCGGTAAGTAGCGGTAGAATGTTTAACTGATACATCAGAGACAGAAGCAACTAGCAATACTTTCACATTTACAGGGTGGTTAATGGCGGGTATCACTGTCCTCAATAGACATGCATGAAAGTTTGTGTACTATGCTGAGTTAACAAAATAATTGTCAACAGTGATGAGAAGCTTCATGATCTACTGTGGTCCATCAATTAAGATGTCTGCTTTACAATCTTTGCCATTTTGTCCCAGGCCTTGTGAACAACATACAGCTCAACTATCTGTGTGAATAGTCCATGGTCATCTATCCTATGTTTTCATTGTCATTTATTGTTAGAGAACTCTTGCAACTCTTTAGGAACTCTTTCTTTGCATAGTAAGAAATCAAGCCAAGTTTGACAGACAATCAAATGATATTCTCAAATGTCGAAATCCAAACTGATTTGGGATTGTTTGAAAGAAAATACTTTTTGTTAGGTCATATTTGAATAGATGTCATAAAATGTGGCATATTTAGGTGATACCATGTCAGATGCAACATAAAATATTATTTCACACAATGTTGCTAAAAGCGTGTAAAATAGAATTGAGCTTCTATAAGCAACTGACTGTAGCAAATGTTATTTTTCTTTCCACAGTTCTATATAGATGGGGAGGATTTTGTAAGTATGACCTTCACAAAATTTTCTGTGTTCACTGTTTATGTTTTAGGTAAATATTATCCAGGGTTCCTCAACATAATTGTGAACATAAGCAATAGCTAGCTTTTTATTTCAATTTAACTAATTACTTATGACTTTGTAGATTCCTGCATTCTGATTGCTGTGAAAGTATAACAAATCAACAAGTGTACAAAAGTAGTACTAAAATATACCATCTGAATGTATCTTGAAATATTTATCTTCACAATAAACTTTTTGGCTGTATTTGACCTTTTAGAAACCAGCATTATTGCCCTTGAGTATGACATATCAAGTCCAATACATTGTTTATTGTTCATATATGATTATATATTGAGGCATAATCGTATTACGCATACCTATGTAGTCTATTATTACACAGTGCCATTTAGAAAGTGGTCAAATGCAACTGTGGAAGTTGTGCAGGCTGAGTGGGTTAGGCGGCTGACTTGTGTGCTGGCGATTTCGTGCCTGACGCTGAGGGGGTGGGTTCGAATCCCGGATGGGACTCAACCCCCAAAAGTTCTAGAATTTGTACTTTACTAAGGAAGTGTAATCCCAAATATAACATATGTTGTATGTAGTCTATTGTCAATTTGTCAATTATTTATTTATATTTGTTTCAGTCACAGGGATCAGTGTACAAAGTAAGTAGAATATATATGTATAAGCCTTTGTGCTTGTCAAAACTCCTTTATGTACACAAGATCTTTCTTCAGTTGCAATGAGAACTAAGCATAGTCTCAGGTGAAGCATATGTAGTATCTATAACAGCTAGTGACAATAGTGGGATATGTAGTATGTAGTAAGTAACAATAGTGTTAGACATAAATACATCATGGTTTTAGTGAGCAAATACATACTAAACTACATAGGGACAGTTACAAAGTTATACTTTTGAATTAAGCTTATTAGGTCTTAAAAATCTTTTGAACATATTTTCTTTTTTTCATTTGAAATTGTTTATCATCGTTAAACAATTGATAATACAGGCAGATAGTTAACTGGCCATTTCCATGTTCACCAATGAATATGATCTGCTTACAATACTCAAGTGGATGAAACTTTTTATTTCTGATTTTTTTGAAGACAAGAAGCATGTGTAACAGTTGCTAGTCTTGTCATCGTTGTCAGTGGGGGTCCTTCATCACATGATGTGGACCACTGTCATGAATAGAGCACACCTACCCACCAAGCTAAAGATCAATTTTGGATCTGTTCCCAACACTAAAGGACATAAAAAGATGGTTCTTCTTGTTGCCCTGACTGCTGGTCAGCTTTGAGGCATAAGGGTTTGAGACAAGGCTACCTGAAAGCAATTTCACATGACACTTCTATGGATGCAAACTCTTTTTAATTCTTTATCACACCATTTCAAAGCTCTTACTTGCTCCTTTGTCATTAGAATGAATGAGCATGAATTTGCTCTGAAATAACTTCTAAATAGAGGATACTAAATGATTTTCTGTGGAATACCATTTTTATTAAACAAGTTAATGATTTGGTATCAAACGAGCGAAATTTTATAAGCATGGTATTTCACGGAAGCTTTGCCTCGGTGAATCTCACATGTCCAAGGTCGATAAATCATTGGATCAACCTCACTTGAAGTCAATAATTGTATAATGACGTTATATGTATGGCATCACACAATGTGTAATAACTTTGTAAAATTATTAGACAGTGATATCTTCAATCTCCATTTCTGAAAGAAACAATATCATTATATTTCTGAACTTTCAAGATCTTCATATTACTGTGTATCATTATTACAACTGAGAATGTTTCCGATGAAAATTGATTTTGATAATGCTCTTTTTCAGAGGTGTACATCTTGTATTGGAGTTGCTTCGTTCAAGGGATCGTTGATTGTGTCTTTGGGGTGATATTCTTTATTGTCACCTGTGCTGTCTATACTGAACGTACGTATATTATGTCTCTATAGCAGTCTAGTAGTGAAGAGGCTTTTGCTCTCTGGTATTTTAATATGTCCCTTGTATGCAAACATTGCTCATGTTCCACTGAGTGTCACTTTGTTTCAGTAAAGTAAGAATGTTTGCTAACCAAAGCCTTGTGGCATGAATGATATGCGTTGTCATTGTCCATTGTTGCCCTTCCATAAGATCTAAGGTGAAGGAGTTACTATACTATTCTACGGAACTTAGGACTTACATCACATCATGGCTTATTATTCATCATGTATAACATAGAAATCTTCATGTTTACAAGGGGCGACGGGGTAGCCTAATGGTTAAAGCATCTGCTCGTCACGCCGATGACCTGGGTTCGATTCCACACATGGGTATAGTGTGTGAAGCCCATTTCTCCTGTCCCCTACCGTGATATTGCTGGAATATAGCTAAAAGCGGCGTAAAACCATACTCACTCATGTTTACGAAATTGAATTATTTCTTTTTCAGGTATACAATTAAATAATAGCAAACATAATTTCCTTATCGGAATCACTTGATGAAAATTGATCTTGGCACTAAGACTATTGTGTGGCCATCTTTCTGTGTGGGACTTCAAGTTGTGGTTCTAAGATTACTTGTATGAATGACTGTTCTGCTTATTAGTGGCATGTTGCATATCTATCTTTCTTTTGAACATGAATTATGTAGGGTAATCAAGAACCTCATGCCTCATATACAATGAGATTCACTCAGTCTCCAAGGAATTTATGTTCACTTTTCATGTCTTTGACATTCTAGGCCTGGATGAGCCTCTTGCTACTGGAACTCTCGCTCTCAGCATCATTGTCATCATTATTGGAGCTGTTAACATATTTCTGTGTAAGTAGAGTTTATCTGCTTAAATGTATGTACACTAGGTATACATGATGTTTGACTGAGATTCACCCATGTTTCTACGTTTGTCCACACCTTACCTTTACTGCCTATTAGTTTAGATTTCTGAGACCAGCATCGCTTCAGGTCTTCCTTCCACATCATTCAGACGTGCTATGAGACAATTAAAATACTGTTCAAAGTGGTTTTGCGCAATGTCACATTCTCGTGTGTTTAACTGTACTTATACCACTAGGGTATGTTATGTCCATTGTTCTGGCAGGCTGATTTTCTGTGTATCAACCTTCTATCTGCACGTGCAGAGGTTGATATGTGGATAACAACCTTGGCGGTGCAGGAAACGCACGTGCAACAAGCAATGTACGAGTCCATTCGGCGCCCACGTGGTATAAGTAGGTTAGCACCCCCCCTCTGCGGGTGATATGGATTCAACGCTCTCGCCTGACGTCTCGAGCGTTGAAATCCATATCACCCTTGAGGAGGGTGCTAACGTATACATATGCTGGTAACAGTGACACTGTTATATCCTACGACTGAAGCCTTCCACAACTACTTTGAAAGTCTCACTGCCTTTAGTTGACTGTTGTTCTAAATTGCATAAATGTTTTCATCTGTGTAAGTTGCGGTCATTGTTTCTTTTGCTGAATACTGATGGCATTTGTTGCAGTTCAACTTGTTGAGTTCTTTTCATGTAACCAGGTTGCCGCTGTTACAAGTCACCTGGTGAAGTAGATGGGAAACCTGGATCATCTGGGCCATCTTCAAATGCTGGTGGTCCTCGCCCATGGTTATGCTGCTGCTGTCCTCAATCAAAGATGTAGGAATTTCATGAATTTTCATTATCTAGCTACCTCTTCTAACTAAACATCACCAATAATGTTTCCTATCCTATCCAGTCATCTTAGTGATTTTTCTACAAACCTAGAGAGGGTGTTTGAAGTTTGGTTGACTTTGTGATGCATTTTTTTTCTTTCTTTTCTTTTCCAGATGCTCAGGGGAAGAGAGGTAGATAATATGATGATGTTACCACAGTCTCAGCTCATCTCTGTAGAATCTTTAGAACAATCGATAGTAAGGATAGAAAACATTTAGGCTTACAGGAAGGGATCATGTAGGTAAAATACCCGGTAGTTTCTAACTGTAAGCATTGGGAACTATTGTTATGTTTGAATTTATTATTGTATTACAATAGACAAGATTTATATCATATCTGGAGAAATTTAAAATGTAGTCATTGAAAGAATTCATCAGCATTGCCTATAAGCAGTGTGAACACTGAAACATGGCTTGTCATGTGTCTTGACCTCCGATGACTGTTGGGTCAATCATGTTTACATGAATGCTAATCATCATTGTAGTCATCATAGTAGTATCAACACACAGATTACACAGTATTTATATACATGATGCAGGTGATTGGTGTCATGTGGGTTCACTCCTTGTGTTTAAAAGTTGAAGTTTTAGTATGAGTACACTTTGTCTTTTGGCTGATGATGTTTTGGAGATGGGCCTGAAACTGAAGAGGTTTTGAGTGATCTCAAGTGAAAGATGAAGGTCACTGTGAAAAGCAATATCAAAGCAAGGTCAAACAACATTTACCTATGTTTCCTAATAAATTTAATCACAATGGTTTGTGAACCCCTGTGAAATCATTGGTTGCCATGGCATCACAATTAGATAACATCACTAATTTCCCTGCCACTTTACCTGGTTAGCAGAAGCCTTTAATATTGATGACACTGGTTATTACAGTTTTCAAACTGAGTTGGTTATAATTTTCAAGAGTTTGAAACTAAACCTTTGAAGTTCAGATTACAAAGCAACCTTTTCATTAATAAAGAATTTGACTACTGGTTTGATCTAGAATTTCAAAATGAAAATACTCATGAAAGACATGAGCAGAGGATCTAGTACACATGTTTTTGCTAAGAAACAAAAGTTTGTAGAAATTTGGCTGAACTATTCAAATATTAACTTGGAGTTATTTTTTTATAGGTTTAAGTGACCTTGTAACTATATTATATTTTTTCATAGGTATGAGTTGATTCAAACACTCAAGTGCCTGTACATTGTGGCACTTTCCTCCCTAAAATCAACCTGTCCCTACAAACAAATGAGGATGTTCTGAATGGAACTGTCCTGTTTATTTGAAATTTGTCTTTTTCTTAATATGTTGCACTCATACTTCTTTAGAAATTCATTAAACATTTCCTAAAATATGTAACATTGAGCATCTCTTAGATTATGGCCTTTGCTTATTAGCTCGAATGAGTTATTAAGTTGAGATGTCATTGTTTTGTTTGAAAAATCTTTCTAACAGTCGTCAAAGTCCTCCAGCACCAATACCTGCTGCCATGGCCTCCCCAAGAAAACCAGTCCCCCCAAACTCCACTTCCGCTAGACCTCTACCCAGCCCCACATCAGACCCTGCCAGTGACAGTGCTGTTAACCCAAAGGTTCTCCTAGAGCCTCTAAATGTTGAAGAACCAAAGAAGAAGAAGAAGAGAAGGAAGAAAAGGAAATCTACAAAAGAAGCAGGAGAAGAATCAGCTGCACAAACAATGACTGCAGCAGGAGACAGTGATGATGACTGAGAGGTTGGACTATGTCAGAATAATTTAACATGATCACAGGGGAATATTTTGTTTTCATCAAATGTATTTTTGTAAAGGAACAATGTATGAAACAATAATTGAAATTTGGGAGCTTTTATGGAATCTCTTCTTCCTAATATTAAATTACTGTACTTGTCTTCTCTCTTGTACTTGTTTTCATCCAAGATGGTTAAATATTAGTTGACAAATGCTGCTGTTTTAGAAAGGTTACAACACGCTATGAATGCATTGGTTGCTGTGAACCTTTGTGCATTGTTCTTCATGATTCTTGAGGCTGATAGGTTTAAAAGAAACTGTACATATTATCCCTTTTGTCCAAACATGCCTTTTCCAGCACGCTTTGTTTAGAGAGCATAGCTCATTAATCGTTTCATTCTTTTCTTAATATTTGTAAACCTGTCACACATGTGCTGAAGTCAGCAAGTTTGGCATTTGGGTTTTTTATGACAAAAAGCTGATGAGCAGTACTTTGTGAATCTTTGTATACAATTCAAGCAAGTGCTTGTCTCTTGTTAAATAATTGTTACTTATCAGGCAAGTGACTTTTGCTATTCACATATTTCTGAGGCAATAACAAGTATAAATGTGGGTTTAATTTTGCAGAACATCACTAAAGAAACATGTAATATTTTTTCATGAAACTTTACAAGCACATATTGTAAAGCAACCATTACTGCTATTGACTGAATGGATCTGAAGGTCAGACATGGTAGCTTGGGTGACAGTCTGACATCATTCTCTGATGGAATAGGATGTTGATCCTCAGGCAGAGTAAATTTAAAAAATCAGTCACAGCATCAAATATGAATTAAGGAAAGTTGTGTCTGACCTGCTTTTTTATTTTATGCACATATTTTTAAGGGCTAGAGATACTGATTATGTCAAAATGTTGACATGTTGTTCCGTCCAAATCTTTTACATCATTGATTTATCTTTTGTTATTTTTATAATATTTAGATGTGATTGTTCTATGTCATGCCTGTTCCGCAGATGATTTTAGTTCAAGTCAAGTTTATTTCTGAAGTGGGGGACCTTAGGCCCATATTACTGTTACATACATGAGAAACATTAACATTTCATACGATGAGGATATTTTGTCTGACAAGCATTGCTTTGTACATATAGATAGCTAAATTGATCAGAATAGATTCATAATTTGTATTTTTCAGGTATAAATTTGGTTCTAATTTGTTCATAGATGCTACAAATACAAATAAACTGATATTCATCCTCGATATAAGGCTTTTTACAAACTAAACACGAAAATGATTTTAATAATGTTGACGTATTAGAAGTGTACAAAACATGAAGTCTTATTGAGGACAACTACTTTTTTCAAATGATCTATGCGAGCTATCTCTTGCAGAATCTTTATGTTGGCCATAATTTGTTGATATCCTTCTATTCTTAATGGTTAATTTTGTGTCTACCATGCACATTCTACTGAAGAATTAGAAAGATCTGACAAGGATTTCAAAAGAGGTTTTTATATGTAAGCATATTATTATTTTGTATCATATTTAGTCCCTTCCTCAAATATCATATTTGCTCAAACTTGTTGTTATCATGTTACCATCTCTGTTAAAGCCACACAACAGTCATGTACGTATGTATATCTGTATGTACGTACGTACGCACGCATGCACACACGCGCGCACGGAGATACATACATTGATTGAATTAACGAAATTATGTTTGAAATAGTAGGTAGATCTCATGGTAAAATTTGATTTGCAGCAAGTGTTGTTTGCTTGCATTCTGTTATGGGATCCACTGGTATATATGTCTCCAGACAAAGACAGGGAAATTCATGTTCCTCTTTTCCTGTATCTGGATACCCATTAGCACCAGTTGGTATCAGAAGTGACTTTCATATGACATCATTGGCTGCACACAAAATATTTCTGTCACGAACATCTTTTATGAATGGATCAGTATTGGAACATGTTCAATCAAAGTACAGAATATGTTCATATTAGGGGCGATAGGGTAGTCTAGTCGTTAAATTGTCCGCTCATCATGACAAAGACTCCAGGTATAATGTGTGAAGGCCATTTCTGGTGTCCCACTATAATATAGCTGGAATGTTGCGAAAAACAGTGTCAAACTAAACTCATTCACTGTTCATAAGCAGTTGTCATGTAATGAACATTACTGAGCGTGGCGTTAAACAACAAACCCTATAAGCAAATAACAAGGGTACAAGGACACTGGTTACCATGTAACTTATAGCCTGATTGGGCCATCATCCCTACATGACAATACGACTGTGACAAGACTGAAATACAACTTGATTGTACCAATTGATTGTACCTTGCAAGATAAAGTAGAGGAGTGGCTGGCTGCCTCTCATTATTTAAAATGCTGTAAGTGAAAGATATTACTTTAGACTCAGGGGAAGATATTGACACTGACCACTTACCAGGTATTCATTGTATCCTGCATGGTTGATAATATGTGTGTTTGCCCCAGCAAGTTGTACATATTTATGTCAACAAAGTAGGTCTTGGTGTGAAATATTTGAATTGTGAAAAAAGTATTGTTTTAACAATTTCTTAGGGATTTCAACTTAAGTGCTTGAGCTTGTAGAAGTGAGGATGTTATGAAAATGACATTTAGAATCAATTCATAGCAGTCAGATGACCTGGATTATAATATGACCATAGAATGGTAGTACAATTCTGTTCTATACTTTAGGGGTAGTTTTTTGTTATATAAACTGGCAGGTTCAAGCAGTTTATCAGGGTGAAGCTGAATCTGTTAGCTCAAGTATGCCCAGACTGACTGCTGTGGTTCTCACTTCACAGATGTCTCCTCAGTGACGTTTGTGTTGGGATAAGGGTAAAGGTAGGTTACGCCCAACCCTCTTTTTAGGCCTTAATACTCTTTCCTATCAAGCACTCCTTTACAATCAATGGTGTTGGGCACCACTTGCCAATCAAACACCCAATAATGGGAGATAGGCTGTGGGTTAGCTATCACTCATAACTAATGTAATTTTGTTTTGGGGTGCATGCACGTAACCATAAACACTCCGGTGCAGATGATGTTAATTGCGTAAATCAGTGCAATATTGGGGATTACACTTTCTCAGTAAAGTACACATTCTAGAATTTTTCTAGCATTTGAACACTTTCTAAAATGCATTGTGTATATGTAGATGAGCACTAATTATTTGCACTAATTATGTGTGATAGCGCCTGTGGCCCCATGGTATTTTAAGAGATGAACTCAATTGCCAAGCATAGGTCCATGGTGGCAATGTGAGTTTGGTCCTCCATGACAGGCAAATTGAAATCCAAACAAGTGTGCCCAATAAAGTACATTTCTCCTAAAATGTTTATTCCATCCTTTTCCTGCACACCTGGATAGCCCTTTACTTGACAGGGTTTATTTACTTTAATGAAAATAACAATTTTATCTTTTCTTTGAATTTGAAATATTTCCTGATGTCTTATTGTGAATTTCTTTATTAGTGTTTTGAAGATGATATTCTATTATATTCTGATATCTATATGTATATCTGTGTATAACACAGCCATAATTAAAGATTTGTTCTATCCCGGTGTTATGATATATTTCTCTTAGTGTTTATATATATACATATGTTATATATAATATAACATAATGTGGAGATACATGTAATGTGTTTTGTTCCCATGTATATTCTGTTTATATGCTTAGGCCAACAAAAAAAATGTTGTGGTTCCGATTTCCTACATTTCAGAACTAGGGTAGGTAGGTAGGATTTTTGTTTTTTTTGCAAAATATTTTTACATTACTCATGTGTCAGAAAATAAATTTAATTTATTATGTGGTGAGTAAAATTGTTTGGCTCGGCAGGAATATTTAGGGTCGGTCGGGAAATCGGAACCACAAGCTTTTTATTTTTAGGCCTTATATTCAATAAAGATTGTTTTTGTCATTAAACGTGTCAGTTGCTGTGAACTTTGTTAGGGAAAACCAGTTGGTATTTCAGGGGAGAAGGGGATGGGGTGGGGGGTGTCTTTTAAAAGCTGTTTGCTGCAGGAGGTTTGACATGCAGAAGTCGCAAAAATTACATTTTTTCATATTCTTTCAGTGAAACGTATTGTTTCAGACCAGTGGCATTACACTGGCAAAAATTCCCCTAAATCCCGGGAATATTAAGTGGTTGACCCCTTCATGTATAAGACTAGTATGTCAGTGTTTATGTCTGTATATATTCAAAATTCATTTATCTTTGTCTCTGTCTTATTAGAAATTAACATGTCAGAATTGATATCAAGAATTCACAAAATTGTTTGAAATTATTTGTTTCTAATGTCACTTGTTATATGTCTCTGGTAATGCTAGGAGTAAAACTTCATGTACTAATAAGTGTACATTCCACCGAACACCGACTTGCTGTTCTGGTTGTGGTCAGTAACTAATACAGACAACAGTATCATGTCCAGTACTAAAAGTATAGTATAGAAGTCTTTCATGCTGACGTGCAATGACTTCAGTTTGTTTAAACATATTTATTAAATAATTACATGGATGAAGAAGAGACATAGAATAAGAGACATCAAAGAAGATTCTTTTAAATCTTATTCATGTACGAACTATTTTATTGTTTTTTGTTGTATATTGATTCTTTTATTAGTTTGCTGTTAAAGAAAAGCTGTGATATATCTCTTAACAAGTTTGAAAAGAAATCTTTTGTTCAAACAAGACTTCAGTATTTGGAAATGTAACAATTATTATGTTATATATGTTATTTTTATATGCTATTTAGTTAGTACACATTTGCTTTATAAATAAATAAAATATATTACTCACAGTTGTGACTCTGTTGGTTTTCCTTTGCTAATTTCCTTTCATTGTTACTTAAACAAATATTCATGACAGATCTATTCTACAGATTGTATTATATATGCAACTAAACCCTTGTGTTTACAATTTCTTAACATACTCCCTACTCATGAAAGGGGGCAATGGGGTAGCCTAGTGGTTTGTTGCGTTTGTTCATCACACCAAAGACCCGGGTTCGATTCCACACATGGGTACAATGTGTGAAGCCCATTTCTGGTGTCCCCCACAGCGATATTGCTGGAATATTGCTAAAAGTGGCGTAAAACCCAACTCACTCCCACTACTCACTAATAATGAATCACAGCTCATAACATTCAGTCACTGGATTGTCTGACATCATTATGTACAGTGATATGGAAGGGTTTTTTGCCAGGAGCCCTGAATCAACAATCATGCAATATTAGGGAGTAGTGTACATGAATGTGTATAATGTCTGCACTACTGTCATGCATGTCAGGTTCATTAGTGTGTACGTGCATCTGATGAAAACAGGTTTACAACAGCTCTTGACTACACAGTCACATTTGACATGACCTGATTATCCTAGCTGGTCCAATGAACAAGGTACAATCTGCAGCTCATACACAGAATGTAATATATTCTAAAATGTATGCATACATTTCAGAAAGTTTGCCTGATTGCATCGAACAGATGCTCACAACTGAACAACAAATGAATGAAAATTAAAAATGATAACGTTCAGGTGTATACTGCAATCGTAGTGTAACCCAGAAAATGGCCAATGTTAAACTGATCAGTCAGAACAAAACCTGTCTGACTGGGACGGCACAGACCCTGCCTGTATAGGCTGATATTTCAATGCCAAAAGCTTGTATCGATTCCATAACCTATTCGTGGCGTGTTATTGCGTCATATGCAGGCGTAACCTTGTTTACCCGGCCCCTTGGCAACAGTCAATCAGTCTGTAGACGGTCATGTTGAACTAACCGTAGCCATGGCAATGTAGGAGAAACGACATGAGTAAGATCTATACATTCTGCTGGATCCTGATGTCGGGTCGTCATCATGTAGTGTGTGCATGCAGCTGTGATGTAAACGGCTTCGTTCAATCGATGAGAAGGGGAATCCCCTTCATAGGCCACACACTTCATGTACACAACCCGTTCCGTCGCATAAAACAATATGGCGAAGTGAATACGTTTGTCACAATAGGTGGTCGATGTGCGAGATATATATTGCCTTGCTTCACTGCCGATGAGTATTCCTTGTATGTGCTCAGTTTGCGAAACCAAACACCTCACACACACACAGGCACAGCTATCCAAACGCTTACATACTAATCTATTTTAAGTCTGGGAGGGTGTTATAGTACAAAAATTACATTCCACCAACCTATGTCGTCATAGGGATTCCGTGAGATGTGCGTATGCGTAAACCATCAGTTTGCGTTCTGCTAGACATCGGTGATTAACGAAGCTTCATTGAACAACTAATTAATTTGAGCTGTCCAAGTGAATACTTGACACACCTGCAATATCTGTGCTTCTACGATAACCTGCGGGTGTCGTGAACGACTTGAAAGCACTCAGTGGGTGAATCCAGCTGAATTTCTACACTATTTGACCAAACGGCTGCGGCCGGGGTCAGGGGTTGAAGACCAGAGTTCAACATGGCGACCCCACTGCGAGAGAATCACATGGCATCGGAGAGTGAGATCAGTGACTGTGAAGCAGTCGACTGTAAACCTCGTCAAAATGTTTTTGACGTTGCTGAAAGGGAGCACCTTTAGAATACAGCACCACAACTTCTCGTGAGGACGATCTCTGCCGTAGGTCACGTATCATTAAGACCAGCAACCAGTTTGTGAGAACCCGTCGGACGCGAACCCGCGACCTTCGGATTGTTAGCTCGACAGCTAACCGACTGAGCTACGTCCACACTGTTGCACACTGTGCAAATTTATCGAGTCATTCCTGTGACGTCACGGAAATGAACGGAAAGAGTCGAATAGGTCACGGACAATTACGAATGCTACGGGTAGACTTGGTGTCATGTGATTTTATTCTACGGACAATTGCCGAATGGATCCGATGCCATTTGGCACACTCGTCCCATTCCGTAATCTACAAATTAACGTGTGGCGTGGAATGAGCCGATATGCCTCAAACGGAAAAGGGTTGTTGACGTCAGGCGTCAGACGTAGATTTCACGGTGTATGCATGAATGACGCGCTTTTATATAAATCGGTGATTTTGTGACAGAAAGTGATGTAGGGAACACTGTAAGGATAATGTGGATCGCACTAAGGAACGAGGGAGACATGAGCATGTGTAGTGACGGCACGAGGGTGAGTTAGCCTTCGAATCATTACTTCACAAAATTTATGTTGCGTGTGAAAGAGGCTTCAGTGCAAATTCCAGGCCAATTTCCATTAGCCCAAAATTTCTACATTAACCCATTTCATAATGTACTTTCGACGTTTTGGTTTCCCGTTTTTGTGTGAAAAAAAAGTATTAAAATGCAAAAAAGGAAAAACAACAAATGGTACTCACGTATTACACCGGACATGTACCTACTATATTGGATTAGGTCCCTAACCCTAAACCCTAAACCCTCAGCCCTAACCCTAACCCTAACCCTAACCCCTTGAAATAATCCTAATAAATAGAATGCATTGACCGAACCACCGGACATGTACCTACTATATTGCATTAGGTCCCCAACCCCAACCCTAAACCCTAAGCTAACCCTAACCCTAACCCTAACCCTAACCCTAACCCTAACCCTAGCCCTAGCCCTAGCCCTAGCCCTAGCCCCAATCCCTTGAATTAATCCTAATAAATAGAATGCATTGACAGAACCGGCACAAACACGACTGACGTGTCTAGTGTAAGGCATTATTACCGCTTCGAAATAAAAAATACTAATAAAACACTTTTCTAGGTAATGGTGCAACTTACTGAATGACAAAAATATATATGTAAATTTAAAAAATTACAAAATACAAAATACACAACACATAACACCTCAGCAGCCCGTAATACAAATAAATATGAGCGTATTAGTGGAAAAAGAAAAAATATTTCAAACTGGTGCTTGCAAAATATTGCGCATCCGCCGGTATACAACTACTGGAAACTCTCAACATCGTTGGGCTTATGCAATGACATAGCTCGTAGAGATGAAACACCAGTGAGCGGAGCTTATACGCACTCGCTGACCCAGACAACCGTGTTGCCATGCAGGCGTCATAGGGCATTGTTTCGAGATCGTGCTTTAGAACAAAATCACATTACATTACGTAAAAGGGTATTATGACGTATTTTTAAAGTTTGTGGTGCTGTATTCTAAAGGTAGGCCGCTGAAAGATTTCAGCACAACGGACAACATGAAATGGATGTAGAAGGTGCTAACAAGAAATGGCGAGGTATCAGTGCCAGTGGTGCAGTCGGGAAAGTAGGTCAAGCGAGACCTTGCAGTAAGACACAGGCTCTGCAGTCAGTCAGTGAACCAGACGACTCGCAGCAGATCAAAGATGTTATGTCAACATTTGTAGAGACTCAGGCTGCACAAACAGAGACTATGAAGGGTATTTCAGCCTTTTTGAGTGGA